TCCGATCTGTTATTAATGTCTTATACATGTCAATGTTGTCCAAATAAGAGTCATGTGGAAGAGAGCGAGATTCTGTGCTGTCATTGTGAACGGAAGGCCTATATAACGTCATTGTCTGCCTAGTTAGAAAGTCAGAGACACAATTAAATATCTGATTGACTGCTCATATACTTACTTCAGAGAATCTTTATAAAATAGTTTTACACTACTATGTGTTTGGCGGATGTTGTGTGTCCGATAGCGGCCAGGCAACTGCCATAAATTGACCTCTAAGATTGTTTTCTCAGAAAGAAATGTGAAAATGAGGATATCGTCCAGACGACAGCGTCGCAAGTATCATTTACATTCACTCTCACTAACCGCAATGGGTTAACATTGCGTACACTTCGCGTGAATAATTAAATACAAGTCATTCGTAATCTCTTCATTAGTATCACCACATCAATTTATCTTGAGGTTAAATATATCTATTAGATAATAAATTGCGTAAAAATTGTTTATGAAGATTATTTACGGGAAGGCGTACGTACAAAAGTTTCATAAAAAAATTGTATGTTCACTGTGTGTGCTTCACTTATCATGTGAAAAAATTCAAAATGTAAAATAATAAAATCGTAAAGAATAAGATTTAAAGAAATATAAACTAAAGCATATTTATATTATATTTGCGAAATGTTATATTACCTTATTAACATGTTATCGCATTAATATCCAGATATTCAAATTATACCTCTTATTGTTAGAGAGAATTTTTCACAGTATCTACCTGTAAACTCAGATAATTATTAAATACTTGGATATAGAGATTATTAATCTCATATAATTCCGAACGCACTAATTTATGTTTGCTTGCAAGAATAAGCTCAAAAGTCATATGTCAAAAAATATTTGACATGTCACTTATTCATAAATGAAAATCAAAAGTATACGCAATGGTATATACATACCATTGTTGCGTTGGCTCTTTACTTTTGCAAAGATTTTGTTACTGTTCCATAGCATTCGAAAGTTTTTCTTATCTCTCTAATATTGCACATAAATTTCCTTATCATATAATTTGTATGATTAATTAATACATTGTTAAGATTCATTCTTTCTGTATTCAGAAACTTCATGTCACATTACTAAATAAAATACACCATTAACCAAAACCGAAAATTTATTAAGCTAATTCACCTTTATGTGTATGTCATATATTGTACGATTATGTCGTAATTTGATACATCTTCAATAAGAAAGTATTGCAGTAGCAAAATTCGTGCTTGACTCTGTGATGTACGAAAGCATACTGCTCTCGTTAGTGTGGATAGAAAGTTTCTGAAGCTCCGAACAGCACAACTCAGCTGTTTTCCCGCGCTTTTCCCATGATTCAAGGAAAGCTCGATGAGTGAATTCGACTTACTCACTAGGCATATACTAGTTCGAAATTACGATATTATGATATAAATAGTGAGACCTTTGTGTCGTATAAAAACCTTATCATCGATAATCAATATTTTACTGACGAAGTGCTAATTTGACAACTGTAATTAATTAAATTTTTTATATAGTATTTTCTACATCGGGTTCTTTAGCATTCATTAATAGAAAAATACACCTGCGTCGTGACACAATTGGAAAATCCTGGCAAGGCTTTCTTGTAACACATTGTAGTCGCATAGAATAGAGAGGGCTCTTTCCTCGTAACTTACGAGGCTCGGGAGAGTGTTGATCGTTACCACAGGAGTTTCCACGTGTGTCATTGCGCTTGCACACATTTGAATCGGTGAACTTTATCGATTAATAACGTTCGAGTATACCGTACATAACGGTCTGTCGTAAGAAAAATACTTACGCAATCTACGCAATCTAAAACTAATATTTTTCCAAACAAATTTGATATCATTTAAATTTTTATAACTATCAATTATAGAATTAATTCAATCAATTTGCGATTACATGATAGTTCGATTAAACCTTTAATTATTTTATCTGACAGAACAGAAATTTTTTAAATTAATGTACAATCTCGTGAGTTACATTCACACAAACGTACATGTACAGTGCTTATTTTTACGCATACCACGCTGATGAGTGCCGCGGCTGTAGGTGCGGTAAGAGCAGCGCAACGGTGTTATACGCGGGTCGGCCTTTGGTGACAGAAGAGCCGATAATTATGCAAGCCAAGCCCGCGGGATGACCTAATATACACGGTCGGCATTAGAGTCGTCTTACAAACGATCCCTCCCTGTTTCTTTTCGTGTTCGCGCGGCGTAGTGATCACGCGCTAAAAATAATAGCAGACAGTTACGACCAGACAAGACGAAGGCGTGCGTGAATCAAAGATTGGAGGAAGTATGAGTTAAGGGTTGATTCACACTATCTGGATTATTCGCGTAAATCTGTAAGGTCATTTGCATTTGAATTATAAATCTGGCAGCCTTTCCTGCACAATAGAAAAAAAAATTATAACGTGATTACGAATTTGAAAGACATTAATTCTATTTAATATTACGACAGTTTTCTATATCGTCACGTTAATTCACGCTACATTATGCAATACAGACTTTAACATGTGATACTCAGGTATAAATGTTGATACTGTGCACATGGATAATAGAACAATTGATAAAACATTTTTATTTAAATCAAAAAATATATACAATCTATCTACACGCAAACATTTCTTCGTAACTCAATGTCTGGCAATCACGGCCGAGGATGCACTTTAAGTTTAAGATGTGCGCCCCTCTTGCTATGGTATACTTGAAACTAACTAAAATAGCACATCAAGGCATCAGTTCGTTGTCAAACCGACAGTGCAGTTTCGAGAGTCGGAATCCAATCCAAAAGTCAGACGATTTCGACCGGAACCAGAGTTAGATAAAGACCGATCAGCATGTCGAGAATGTATTTCCTGTTTTTGGCATAACATATCAAGTATGGGGCGCCAGTATTATATTGATGATTGAATATTGTTGGGAAGAGTTGCGAGTGTACACGTGATCGGCAGAGGGAGAGTTGCGAGTGAACACGTGATGAGCAGGCGCGCTATTGGAATCGGAAGGACAATAGCGACAAATAAGGAAGAGTAAATAGCAATACCAGATGTCGGCCAGGGCGCACGGCGCGAGAAGGTTTTTTAGCGATCAGCAGATTATTGTAAGCAGCTGCGCAAGCGAGTCGTGTGCTTAACTATAACTCGAAATACATATATCCCGATAATTGCCTATACCTGTCTTACGTTCTTTCTCGCGATACCTAACCGCAAGAAACCTTACAAATATGTTACATTTAAAATTCGTTTCCGCCTTTTTATTATTGAGGATAAAATGGCTCGATTAAAACTGTTTATTTTTTTTTATTTAATCTTGATTGTGTAAAAGTAATTTCTTAATTATACTTTTGCAAATAAAAAAATTTCGGGATTATTCCTCGAAAAAATAATGAACATGATAGATATTAAGTTACATTAGTGCAAGTTCTCGATAAAAGTTAGATATTTTTCTGGAAGTGATGTGAGCAAAGAGATGGATTAACGATGCTATTTATACTGCTAGGTATTTCAAGAAAATTAGTAATCAATAGCGTAGACGAGATAATATTTACATATCAAGATTGGCGTAATGATGACTGGCAATATCCGAAGAATATGAAGTTTCTAAGCTAACAATAGAATTCATAATTTTCTTTCATTATCTAATGCAAAAGAAAAATATCAGCAATTAAGAAAATCAAAATAAATAAAATTATCTGTGAAATTAAATTCTAAACAATTTTTTAAAAATACTTTCTGAATATGCAACAAGAAATATTTTGTTATCTATATATTTCAGTTTCATGCATTTTTACTTTAAATATATGATACAAGTTATAAATCTCGACTATATTATATTAAATATTTTATATAATATATTAATATTGTATTCACATTACGGTTATTTAATATTAATAGAATTCACTAACAAATTTGTTTTCATGTATATGGAATATTTAAAATCGGTGTTATATAAACGTAAGCAGTTTTTTGAATTATAAATTCATTTTAAGATGTATGAATCTTGTACAAATGCTGTCGTTATTTTAAAAGAACATTTAATCGTTTGTTTATTCAAATAATTAATGTTTGTTTATTAAAATAATTTGTAAGAATAATATAATAATGTCCAAACTCACATTAAATATAACGATATTTATAGATGTGTTCGTAACAACTCAGATCTTGTTCTTGAGTTAGAAAAAAATGTGTGGTTGAATTCGTTATCATTACATCTACGTTATTATTACATCTTTGTCTGAATCGTTGCATCATTTCACACTATAATAGTTCGCTTCACTTTAATGATTTCCAGTTGTTTGATAGATTCCATGTGAAGATGTTATACGGCGTATACGAATGTGTGATAATGCTACTGAAATTTATAGTGCGTAAACGCAAAGTTGAGTGCAATGATTAAATGTAATCACAAGTTATTTAATCGCGTGCCACTTCGTGCGTAAAGATCTGCGTTATAACATGCTGAAAATAATCGTGAGTTTCAAACGACGAAGTACGTTCTACAGCACGATTTTATTTTTCGATATTGAACGCATATTTTAATGAACGTCATCGCGCGTAAGATGTCGAAACATCAGAGGAATATTGTTAACGTACATAACAGCTTGTCGAGAAGATATCGTAGTTTATATTTATAATAAAATTTCGTTAACGTATTGACGCACATCCAGTAAATGCGTCTTTGTTATTCAATATATACCGAATGTCAGCAAAGAGTATCACACATTTCTAAGTAATGATTTATGTTTTGCAGATAGTGTTAATGAAATCGAGCAATGGAATCAATTTTTTTGCACAATTTATATTAATTTCATGAATTGATTGTCTAAAAAAAAGAGAGAAATTAATTGTTATTTTTAAAAATCTAATACTATAAAATAATTTTTGTAAGCTAAAATTCGCGTTATGTTAATCTCTTTTATTTAAATAAATTATATTAAATCCTTATTTTCGTTTTTGTATAGACATATTGAAATTATAATAACGTATTGCAAAATTGGTTTATTACATATATTACCAAACAATATACACATAAACAATTTGATTGTGCGATAATCATAACATTACTACAGACCTGCCAGATAAGAATTTATACACTCCGATGTATCGTCACGCGCACCCTTTTGTTTTTCTCATTGCGTGTCATAATATCGTTGGCTCGTGAAAGTAAACGAATCTTGCCAATCATCGAACTCTGGTTTTTCCAACTGTGCTGCTACATCGTCACAAAATTCACGATAAAGTGGCATGTCGATTATCTCGTGGCCTCTTGTACTTTGTCGGAATATACTCAGTGCTTCCGTCGGTAGTCGCGTTAACCAGCGCACCTCCTGAGAGATGAAACAAACCCAATGCTGTGAATGCTGAGATAAATGACTATTGATATTGTGTATCGAGAAATTTTCAAATTCCGCCCTCTTCAGAATGGTAAGAACCATGATATTTTTTATATATTCAGTGAAATTTAAAAAAATATATCAAATAGATTTAATAATCCAATTATTTCGTTATTGCTAATCGCGTAAAATCTTTGTATGTTAAATTAATAGTGAAAAATAATAATGATGCACTTCGCGAAAAACAACAATTTTGCAATTTATCCATTTAATGCACAATCTCTTGAAACATTTTCATCGTTAAGTTTGTGCATTCTTTACGCAATGATCTTAAACCCTTCGCCACAGGATCCTTCACACTTCATTTTATGGGTCGTCGGAGTGTGCATAAATATTATTAGTAAATCTTTGTGTGACTTAAAAACAGATCTCGTAGAACTTTTTTTGTCCTATTTTATGTAGTATTCAGTTTATTTTTTCCGGGTCTTCTCGAACCACGCAGGTATTAAACGTTATCACAGTGGAGAGGCCCTGGGTGGTCCCTGTATGATTAAATGTAGAGGGAGCAAGAGGTAACGAGCGAAAACGAAAGGACGCCGGTCCGTATCGATTCCGGCGTGCCTTTTGTACGAATGGAATGTGATGTCTCTATCCGCTTCTTGTAACTCCTGCCATCACGGGGACCACACGAATCGATAATTGCCTCCTTCAAAAAATTACACCCGTCTTTTCCACTTTGGACGGTTAAATGCCGTTTTTTAGCGCGCGCGTCTGTACGCGCTTCGAATGCGCTTGCTCGCGTAATGCCGCGCGCAAAATCTTAACCGGTTACGGCTTGAGATCCTCTTGTATTCTCCACCGCGAGATTATCGTACTCGATCGAGTACAATGAACTTTATCGCGAATACCACGATGTATAGTCGATTTAGCTTGTTACCTCTAATAATTTCTCGCTCTTTCTCTTTTTCTCTCGCTTTCTGATTATTTCTTCATCAAATGTGATTATTTGCAATCGATAATTTAAAGATCTGCCCATGAGCACAATCTAATTTAGAATTAAATAATAAATTACAAGGATTTTTCTTTATATATATATATATATATATACCTATATATATATATATATATATATATATATATATATCATCAGTCTTAAAAAACTGTTTATACATACATAAAATTATAAATAATTTTAACTTTCAATTATTTCAGGAAAATTCAAATTCTAATATAATAAATAGTAATCTCATAGATTAAAAATTATTGTAACTTAAAATGTATGTAGAAATATGCTAAGTATAAGCAAAGTAGAATTGGAACATGTTACTCTATTAGTTGCTTTGTTAATGACTCAAAACCTCGCATGTCAGAATTAATGATTCATACGCAAGATCCAGAACGCCACACCAAATATGTAAATAATCGTAAACGTGACATACGCGCCATTCTTACGGGTACTTTACCTTGCTATTATAAGTCTTGCAGAAGAAAATGAAATATTAATATTATGCAGAACATTAATTATAAAAATAATATTCTAAATAAGTCTCATATATATTATAACGACGGCTGTTCAATGCTGTAGTGGACGCTATATGAGAATGGATGACACTAAAAAAGACACATCGTGTAATAGAACATGAAATTACTGGATATTTCGCATATTATAGAAACAATTACAAATACATATTCTTATTTGAATATTTTATTTATATGTATTTACATATATAGCAGTTTTTATTTCAATTTATTTACTCTTAATTTTAAATTTGTAATTTTTTATTTAAATTTCTAGGAATCTTTTTACTAACTAATTATCATTCAGTTATTCGTTAAATGATTTATTTTTATTAAAAAATGTATCCATTGTATAAATTTGATAATAATTTGATAATTTGAAAATTAAAAAATATCTGCACATATAAACACACAAACTCAAGTAAAAATTTGTATTTGTAACTGTTCTTATAATGTGCGAAACATCAAATAATTCCTTGTCATACTACGCAAAATCTAATCAGATTCCTGATCAATTATTGGTCACTAAAAAAGAGGCACACTAATAAAAAATTGTATCAAAATTTCTGGATTATATTGGTAGATTTAGGTCTCGTCCCAGTAATAATATCAAAAACTTGACTAAAAATATTGTTTTCAAATCGGTGAAGCATTTTTTGATAGAAGGGTTTGTTTTTGACAAATTGTCCTTTGCTTAAACTGTGAGATAAAATTATCCGGATTCAAAGGTGAGAATAGTTGAAGTACGCGTACTGAAGTGCGTAGAAAGATTTCGATATTCTTATAGATTTATATGAGAATTTTCTGATTCTCGACTAAAGATATTTTCTTCAGCCATTACTATCCACCTCGCGTTTTATCCTTTACAAGTATTCGTCTATTCATTTAAATTCAGTGTCTTCGAAATAACAGAAGACACGAAAAGGCGGGAAAAGATCCTATAAAAATTGTGTTAAATGTTCAAAACATGCTTTAACTTTTGAAACTATAAAACCATTGAAAAAATGTTCAATTTTTATCTCCATTGCATACCTTAAAGCGATCATCGCACCTCATTCAGGCAAAGAAATGGAGCAAGGATTAGAGATTAACTCCGCATTTCAGTTTCTGTTTAGGTCATTATGGTTTGGTTTTTTGCCTATTTTTGTCTAAATGTGTAGCTTCTTTCAAAACTACGCATAAAAAATTCTTCAAAACAAAGTCTTCAAACTGTCTCAATGTCAGGAATTTTGAATTGTCTACTTTGTTGTGAAGTTGTCTACTTTGCTTTGAAAAATTTTTTGTGCGTAAAACTTCTTTTTTTAATAGCTCGAACAAAACTTGTCATAAATCATACCATCATTATCATAAATCACCTATTCAAATACATGACTTTTTAAAACTCGTGTAGCTGTAGTATTTGTCAATTGTATTACAATCCCGAAATAAGATTTAGAGAACAATTACACAAATTTTAAAATATTAAAAGATAAAAATTTTGTCGCCAAACATTTTTTGAAGACTAAATTACCAATAAAAAAAATCTTCATGCAAAGAAACATTATGATTTTCTTTAGACACTGGTGCAAATCAAATCTGCATTTTTTGCAATTAAAGTTCGCAAAATTTGCAGGACAGTAAATTTTTGCAAACATAAATATTGCAAAGCGTTATTGATTATACTGTCGTGTTTTAGATATCTTTATTTAAATATAAAGTCTAATTGATATTTCGCAAATATATCATATGCACATACATTGTATCAATCAATATTTTATATGAATATTATAATATAAATAATGTAATATAATTGCAATATAAATCATAATCGTTAGCTCATATTGCATTGAGAACATTTTTTCTTTTCGTATCATCGTATCAAGCGATTGAAACACATGCGGTTGAGAATACGCTTGTAATATATATTTACATTACACAGTTTTGAGCCCTTTTGCCTTGAGAAACAATATCTCGATATCCATCCGACGGCGTTGCGCACGTGTTCGGTGTGCGTGCAATTCCCGCGATTCTCCTCTTGTATTTCCATCGAAGTGATTATCGGTTATGATGATGGGCATTACGCGCGTTGATGCGTGACTACGAGCATAATGGCCAACCGCGATACGAAATTAGACTAATTTCCATAAGTAACGAGTCCTATGTGTCAATCTTGTAGAAGCCGGCAAGGATAGATTCGTCACACGCGGCCTGCGTACGCATCGCGCACTCCATTTTCGGCGGAAAACGCGTGCGTTTCTAGCGAAACAATGATCACGTTTGACTCATTAATTAAGCAGGACGTTCCGCTTGGCTCTCATTTCATTTTTTTTCTTGCGGGCCACGCGACCCGCCACGCGTTTTCTGCGTAAACTCGGTCCAGTCACCACTTAACTCCTCTCTAGCCCGGTCGTAAACTTTAAACGGAAGGAAACGCATACATATTACTGGCAGGAAATATATATGGTATTGTCGTCACGAATCACGGTCGGTTTCTTAAAACATGAACCCATCCATCTCAGATGATTAGCGCCACTTTTGAAGGAACAAACATGGTTTGCGCGAAGAGAATCAGAGAGAAAAACAGATCGTCAATCTGAATATAACAGAATTTTTAATCATTTATCACTTTTATGTGTGTTATTTGTCTACAATAAATATCCGCGTAATATTTCCCGCGAGAATATTTGCAATATTCTTTTCAAAAATTAAATGAAATATGGAAGATCATATAATCAGTGATAGGAAATTATTACTTTGATTAAAGAAAATAATTACTTTGGAATGCAGAATTTTTGTTCAAATATTACAATTCTCAGGATGATGATGTATCAAAATTCATACAAGTTTGCCTACTGCGAAAACATATTTTCATCTGAAAATTCTTCAAGTACACTGTCCACATTTTCAATATATGCACGCCGCAATGTGTTATCCTTGCATTCTCATTAGGAAATCACGTACGTTCGAAGAAGGGGACGCGCCGGCACCGTATCATGTGCGATAAATAAAAAACGATAGAGCAAGGTGCAATAATACATTTTATGTGGGCAAAATACAAGAGAAATTTTATGTGGATCAAATTCCAAGTTTTGATTTTTTTTATCTACTTCAGGATCTGCCTCTTAAATAATGAAAAAATACACAGAAAACTTAATATTATAGAGATTGTTTGAATTTAATAAACAAGAAAGAAATACTTTTAACGTGTTATTTATTATTGAGGATAAATTTCTGTAGACACTTCCTCATGCATGATATGACGTACATATGCGCTCACGTCTTACGTAGTATCCACGCAGTTTTTAATCACATCATCTTTCTCTATACTGTTTCATCACGTCGTATTACGAGCACGTAGTGACTTTGCATAGTGCGTGATCTCTTATGTCAAATTGATAGACGAAACCATGAGGACAGTCACGTAGAGCATCCTTCAAATTAAAATGCTTCTCCCAATGTCTCATTCGCATACGTTTTTTTTATTAACTAAATGCGCAAATGATGTGCAAGACACTCATAAATTCTCGATAGATAAACTATACAAAGATATACGAGGGAAAACTATCATCATCAAATGTATATATTTTTCTAAAATATTCATATATTATTTAAATATATTCAATCTATACTCGAGATATCTGGCATAAAACAATAATACAAAAAATACATTATTAATTGTAGTATTGTTTATATACGTTAACATAAACAATTTAAAAAATATATAAAATAAGAATCTTTTTTGTGACTGAAATGGTATTTAAATATAGGTAATATATTCATCGCGCGCGTGCATATACCAAATCTCGACAGATTCTATATTCTCTTCTCATCGATTTAATTCGTCTGTAATAGTATATGTCGCTTTGTTAATCTAGGTCATTTATTGATGACTCTTTTCGGCATCTACGCCTTCGTGCCGTGTGACATGTTGCTTTGTCAATGATGGCTCGTGATTTTTACTAATTCTATGTGTATAAACAATAATTAGTATTGATACTGCCGCTTTCTACTGATGGTCATGCAGCGGAAGTTGCATTTTGTCGGATCATGATGACGTGAACGTCTTTACATCAATATATCGTCTACAAATAAATGATAATTACAAAATTAGCAAAACGCTATTTTTTATAAAAACATTAAAAATTGAAGAAAAAATTAAGAAAACTAAGAAAACTAAAACTAAGAAAAAATTTAAAAAATTCTTAGATAGGTCAATATTATTTGTAAAAAAATCCGAATCTAAGGCAACAAAAAATCTACAGGTATATGTATCACTGAATCCCAGTTTTCCAAGTAACCCAAGAGACTAATCGCTTGTGAATTTCAAGAGATTTCATACGCGAGATTTCTTTCGCTTTTAAAATTTCTTCTAATCTACTATTATTCTCGCAGGTTTAATCTGGATAAATATATAGTTCATAATTATAATGCGAATTTTAATCGCCTTACCGCTAAATAAATAAGTATTTCTGGAAAAACATATATGTACACGTAGTGTTATATAAATGAACAATATGACACAATATATGAACAATATGAAAAAGAATTACAATATCAGCCGGTATCTGAGAAATAAAAGAAATTAATATATGATTGAATAATTAAATTGACTTTTCTAATATTCTATTAATAACAAATAAAAATTTCAAAAATTAATTGCGATATACGAAATATTGTTTCCTGAATATAGATAATACTTAAAACTTTTTGTAATTTGTTTTATTTTCTATAATTCATAAAATCATATAGAAATTATTGATTATTTTAGCGAATAATTTTTAACAAGATAATATTAGAAAAATTATCAATAATTGAAAACTGTTAAAAGTAATAATTAAAAATTTGATTAAATAAAGCTAATCCATCGAAAATTAATCGAGTACAATTTTAAGAAAAGTAGAGAATTCATTAAACTGTTCATTGATTACGTGATGTGATCGGAGATTCCAAATTTATAAGTCTCATATGATTTGCTTTTCGGGCGATTGATGCAAGTCGGACATCATATCACATATATGTATAATAAAAATTCTTTTCAAACTTTTATATTAACAAAACAATTTTTATTAATATATAGCAGTTTTATTTTACGTTTAATGATCAATCAATGATCGGATGAAAATACAGCTTATGTCATTGAAGATGATCGTATAATCATTATAATTAATTTATCATGTTACGCAACGTCAAGCGTGCATGTTATATGTATATAATTAACTCCATCACAATAATTAATTCAAAATCTCCCCGGAATCTCTTCGTGTAACTACAATTGACCGCATCCGGGGGACCAATGGATTAGATTCTCCGAAAAATATTTGTCAGTCCTATCTTGCCTCGAGGATTCGGCGCCCGTTCTGAGAAAATCCTTCGAAGTATCGGAAGTACGGCCGATTTGTCATAAGCGTGCCGCATACTTCCAACTTCAGAGGTATGAATGTACGTAAGCATTCAAGCGCTAGTGAAAGGAGACGTCATCACTGACTTTAAGTGGGAGGTAAAAGAGGATATGAACGCAGTTTTGAGTGGGGAGTGTGTGCGCCACGGTGAGAAAATTCGAAGCGCGGGAGGAGAACCTGGATCACTTGATCACAGGTGGAAATGTGAAAATCTTTCCGTTCTACAAAAAAAAAAAAATTATTATTGGGTGTAGTTCGATTGATCAATTTTGCAAATTTGATGATTAATTCGATGATTAGCTATACAACATGGAAGAAAAAACCAACAGTGTGTAAAACTCATGAGTCACGATTAGATGCTAATTTCAGATTAAACATTTACATCATGTGTACAAGATCCTATTTTATTGAACAGGATAAAAAATATGAGTATATTTACATTTTTAAAAAGTGACATTCCGTACGGCATGTGTTCTTGAGACCAACTTCGACTCTGAAGATCTTTTTAATCTGACAATGTCAAGATCTGACAACGACACTGTTGTGCAGTGAAAACGGCGAAACGTGGTAATAATTATCGTTAACGTCATCATCAATACTATCAACATCATTGTTGTGTCTACGGAAACGTATATACACGTACTGACGTTGCTATGACGAAGAATCGCGACCTACCATTATTAACATTGTTCATTAATGCCATGAACTTTTCGCAATGATAACGAAGATGCTACAGACGTACGAGATTCTCGACCGGGGGATAACGAATGGTGTCACGCCTTCGTCGACAATTAGCGGAATCGCGCGTACGGCCGCGCTACTGACGCACACATTCATCTCTACAGGCGGAATGTTCCTACGCTATAATTACTTTTATCGACAGATTCATTTTATCTGTAACAATACATTTATATGTTAGGATTTTTACGAAGAACATGAATCAACTACGTACATTTCTGCGATATGAAGACTGAAAAAGCGTTCACGTGCCAACGAGGATACTTTTCGCGTAATTACAATTTCAATATAAAAATTAAACATTTTTATGTTAATTCTATTTTTATTTTAATATCATGTTGATTACTTTTAAAAAGTGCTTACTTTTAAAAATGTCATCAATTATAATAAATATAATATTAAAATATAATAGCTTATAAAAAATACTTTGGCAAAATAAATGATTACATATGAATTAGGAAAATATGTAATAAGGAAAAAATTTCAAAATGTTTATTCAACTATTTTACCTGAATTTTTTATATTTCTTTCAAATTGAAACTGTTGAAAAAATTGTTGAAAAAAATTATTTGGTACAAGTTATTTCTTTGTTAATTAGTTAATTAAATTTCGTAGTTTGAGGAAAAGTTCGGTATTTGTGACGGTATTAATGAGATGACGCGGCAAGATAAACCGACAAACATGGCTAATACTCTCGTGTGAGAACTTGGTCTCTTTACGTTTCGAATAGCTAGCGTGCGGACCACGTGGTGACTACAAACGAGCGAGCAGAACGCAAGGCCTTGTGATCGAGCGAATTAAATAATAAGTCATACTCGGTATTTATGCGGAATTTTGCGAATTTTCTGAATGATTCATCTCATTTAATATCGCTTGCATTAATTACTTTTCTTTCATTAAACGGTAATAATACTCTCTATAAAAATTCACAGGATAACTTCGTTTATATCAGTATTGTTATCTTTATATAATTATCTTTGAATGAATAAAATTTCGTTGATTTGTACGATATAAGAAAGTAAAATTACTTTCGTGTTTTTCCATAAATTCACTGAAATTCGAATACAAACTTCACGTTAAGAACTCTTACTCTCGTGTGTGTTAAATAAAATGGAACCAAGTAAACAAAAATATAAAGAACAAAAAAAAAGATAATTTATAAAATTAAAAAGTTACTAAAATTAATTATAAATAAGCAAAATTATCTTTTCGTGATATTTAAATTAAAGTTAATTTTTGAAAATATTAATTACCAAGTATAATAAATCTTAGTATCCTTTCGTGATGCTTAAGATCACCATCATCAGAGAGGTTCGAGAGATGAAACTACAATGTACGGCAGATCGACTGTCGACGTTAGCATCGCCTACTACGTACACATAGTGGGGACAGAAAGAGTGGATACCAAGGTGGTCGCGGGGAGTTATGAATGAGTTGGTCGCGAGTCCTGAACCACAGATCGTAATGGTGGGGGGTAAAAGCCGCGCAACGTGCAGGAGAAGGGATGACGAAGGAGGTGGCGCGGGTGATCGAGGGACGGCGAAAATGGTGGGAGGATTGGCCGAAAGCGGGGTGCGGGCCACGTGTTTCGGTGACTTTACAATCGTATATAGGCACCGGTCGACGGAGTGGCCAGTACCATACACTGACAGTCATACACCGGGGGCGCACGAGGTGATAGAACGAGTGAAAGAGCTGCGTTCGAACAGGAAGGAAGAGGGAGGAAGGAAGAAAAAGAAGGAGGAAAGGGGACGAAAGAGAATACAATAGATAGAGACTGCACGACAGCGAGAGGCGATCTATACGTACGTCTAAGGCAGACGGATAGACCATCACTATACCGTTTCCCCTTAGACAAGCTCACTCCTACTATAACGACAAACGAACGATTTGCTTCGCCCGCCTTCTTAACCTGTCTATTCGTTGGATTGACCGCGTGTCTCCTCCTTCGCACCTCGGATACGACAAATCATTCAGTGACCGTCCAGCATTTTTTGAAAGCAAACTTACCTTTTCAATTAGAAAGTGAAACTTAGACCTGTGTGAAGGCGTGGGAAAACGGTAAAGGAAGGAAATAGACAATCGAGAACGAGGAAGTATAACAGAAGGAAGGGGACAACCGAAGAGAGAGAGAGAAGCGCAAAAGAAATAAGAGAAAAACGCACCCTTAGCAGTGTATGATTCTTCGCACCCTCTGATTCTTTCTCTTCTTCTTGAGTATCCCCGCCACCTTATCAAGCACCCACCCCCCCTCCCCTCTTGCTCTCTCACAGGATCCCACAACCCCTCTGCCCCCCTCATATAAGAATCAGTGCATCGCGTGTGCTGGGACCAGTGCCAAACGGATTGTGAATCTGTGCAGACTGTTTTTCGATTGTGACAACCCCCTCAGGTGAATCGGAATCGGTGGCGTATCGGTGCGACAAGAAACGTTGGAGCACACGCGCACCGTCCGCGGCATTCGTGTCTATATATGTGTCTACGTAGACATATATGTATATAACGCACGTGTATCTACTACTTATATATATACATACTCATCGCTGACGCGAAGAGACCCGCGAAGGATACAACCGGCGCGGCGTTACTCCTGGCCTCAAGGCTGTGCGTTCGCGAGTGTCCGCGTGATAGTGGTTATGCGATCACGATGATTGTGAAGAACGCGATAGAGGATCAATCGATACCAATGGAGATCATACTCACCCGTGATCAGAGGACTACGTCCCACCGGGTACATGACTATGCCATGCGAGTCAACGCGCTGACATCGAAGTCGACGATGTCGTCGTTGCAACAGACCAAATATCAGGACATCGTCGCGAGACGTCATTGCATCAAAGCGATGCAAACTGCGAAAACGCTTAAACGAGAGAAAAAGAGTGATTCGCACCTCATGCCAACATTTTATCACGACCGGAGAACACGACATTCTAACGCATCCTTCAACATACTCAGATCTCTAAGTAAGTCGAAGTTACTATCACACACACACACACACACACACATACAACTACAAATTACATAGCAAGCACTAGATGCAACGGTAATTACGAGCGCATGCAAATGAACGTCGATATACTGAACACATTAAGGCAAAATTAACATTATTTGTTACAAGTAAATAGAAAAATTAATTAAAAAACTCACAAATTGCCAATTAATGCACCATATTTATATATTTATTTTAATGTAATATACACGGAAAGAACAATTTTGCTGGATCCAGATCGCAAAATAATTTTTGTTCAATAATCAAAATAATTTTGTTGGAAAGTCAAAATGATTGCTAGAATATCAAAACGTTTTATAGCAATGCCTATCATTTTTAACTTTCCAACAAATTATTTTGATTATTAAACAAAAATTATTTTCAGATCTATACTCAGTAAAATTTTTAGACTTTTCAACAAAATCGTTCTTTACGTATAAAACGGATTGTAGCAGGTACAACCTGAATTCAGGTTGATTGTCACATAAAAAAAATCTTTATTGTGTTCTTATACAGACAGTATGCTACGTCGATTGATTCGAGGTCGTGATAATGCAGCAAAATGCATTACGTAATTATTTTAATAATATTTCGGCTGTTGCATCGTACCGTTCTATCTTTGCAGCGTGGTCGTTGTCAATATAAAAGTTGCATCCTCTTTCCGGTTGCAAGGCTTTCTCCGAATTGATTTAGAAATCATATCAGGATTTGCTTCATTTGCATCAAGCTAGTTGTTTATATCCCTTACTCCTTATTAACCTTTCGCAATACCGACGCGGAAATAATATAGACTGGCGCGCGAGTGTATCTACCGGATATAAATGTTGTACCTCTAGGATTCAGCCAAATTTTCCGTGATTTTCCGTGTAACGTTAGTCACTATCTGAAAAATGAGAAATACCGATTTGTATGTAAAAGTGAAACTCGAGAATCCTATTACTCGGCTAACATCAATAAACTTGATTATGACTCGTAAATCTGCACTCGGAGTGGATTATGACCTGACGGTAAAACCCGCGTGTGTCTCAAAACCTTAATCATTAAACGGCACTTGTCTCGTGAAATACCATTAGAGAATACTGTTCTAAGTATATTGACCGGTCTACAAATATATGTGATTTTATTTTCTTCATTTGTCAATGGAAATCTCAAACTTTTTATCTTAATACTTATAAAAATTATAATTTTTGCAACTTTTTTACGTAATATTGTGTCATTCTTTACGTACTTCTCTTAATATGCCCACAAAATTTTTTATAATACTAAAATCTACTACATAATATTATAGATAATATTATAGATAATTGCTTCTGATTGATAAATATCACTGTATAAAAAATATATTGCATAAACTAGAATCTTAATTATTTTTCTAAATTAATTTTAAGCAATGTTTTCAATATGAAATTTTGGGTAGAAGTATACGGGTATAAATAAATTTTTTTTTTCACGTAAGATAAAAAAAATGCAATGTATAATGTATAAACGTGATATTACGTTTTTTTTTTTTTTTTAATTCGGTTCATTGTCGCTCATGTCATTCTCTCTTGCGACTTTGACGTCACTTTTTCGAGCATGCCGATGAACGGCATTAGTCATCCGCCTTGTAACGGTCCTCCTTATCGATTCTTCGTTTACAAGTTTGCGAATCTTAAGTCTATACGTTTTCATTTACCTATTGTCTTATCTGTTTCTTCCAAATTCTCAGTAAACTCGAAAAGGGCGTATATAATATATAGGAGCTATGGATTTCCCGGAATGAATTCAAAACACGGCACGTGCCAGGACGTGCGGTATATTTGCCTCCGTCCGCCCACCTGTTGAACAGCGAAGGTCCTACAGGTGGTTTAAATCTTTAGATTCTACGAACTGTGAAAAGATAAAAGATGAACCTGTAAATCATCTTTTAGGAATCTCGGCTAAATATCCACAAATACTTCTGTACTTTTAGATAATATAATGTACGGTGTTTCGTCGCTCTTATATTCTTAAACTTTTCAGACAAAACTTTTCGGAACAAGCCGATGCAATTTCATATATTTACGACAGTAGGAACTAAATCAATGTCATTCTTTTATGATGATAACTTGACAGAGAATGATCTATAATAAATTGTCGAACATATATGCGCGTCGCGTATTGCGACCTACCGCAACGTGCTTCGGTCCGTAGACACGAACGGAAGAAAAGGGAGTAGCGGGTCGGGCGTAATGGAGTATAATTGTCGCAAGCAATGCGAGGACAGTGCGTCATTACCGCATTTTTCACCGTCTTTCTTGTTGGCCGACAGCAGAGATGCGCTTTGCACCGGTGTTCACCGGCTTTGCGCGCCATACTTTTTTCAACGCGGCCGCGGCGTTCTTAGGAATTTCGATGGAACGCCGTCGTTGAGAGTCGTCGTTGAGGTAGGCCCTCGGCAGTGTATCGGCGATATGTAGACGGCACCAGAGAAAGTATGAAGAAAGGGTAAAATGATACCAAAGCTCATCATCTGCGAAATGTTCCAAGGATGAACTTTTCTTGACTGACAAAAATAATATATATAGTTGCGAAAAATATTTATATTTAATTAGGTTTTCTTTTTAGAGATCTTTTAGAGATCGTGTAGATTAAGGGAATATTTGTTACATAATGGATAGACAAATGTACAAATATATGTCAAAAAAGTAATGTTTACCAGTAATAGTACGTTGAGAACAATAGTTTTCCGCCATACGGCATATCGACGTATTTCTGCGAAAAACAATTAAATTCGCGACGCGTAGTTCCTGGATTAGGTAAATGCGAGAGTAAGTTTTGAACGGCACAAGATCGTGTAGCCGGCTTTTGAATCTCTTTCTTCTCGAGAGTAAGAACTCGTTTGAAAGTATATACCTATATCACCGTATCCCTTTCTCCGCTGACAAATTTGACCGATCGTGGAACTCTAATCGCATAGCAATTAAACGTCCGAGAGTGGGGGGAAAAAAGAAGGCAGGGTAATTAAAGAAATAAGAGAAAGTAAACGTTGTCTTTGAACGACGAGTAAGGAGATACGTTCGTGGATAGCCCGAGATCATTTACGTGGATCACTGCGAGCTTTGCGGCGCGATAAAAATACTTGCAGTATGAACGGCTGTTTCTCGAGACACGGTCTTTTTCGTATATGGGCGAAAAATAAATTGCAAGCACACGTGTTTCTACTAACATCATTAGCAGACATTAATTGGACGTTTTCCGCTAGGATTGTTGCCCCTTCGAGTCCTTCGACGATACCTTTTCTTCTTCACTTCTGCCTGTGCTGAAAAAGCAAAAATATGCGTCTACTGTCACAGTCGTGTGTTATGCAACTATAGTTACGAAAAAAAGATTTTCACGCGCTATCGCAACAATAATACGCACAAAAATTCACGTGATTTTAACTTTAACCCGTTCATTTCTACACGGAAAGAACGATTTTGTTGAAAGATCTAAAAATTTTGCTAAAAACAGATCTGAAAAAAATTTTTTATTAAATCATCAAAATAATTTGTTGGAATGTTAAAACTGATAAGCATTGCTATAAAACGTTTTGATATTTTAGCAATCATTTTGACTTTTGCACACAATTATTTTGATTATTGAACAACAATTATTTTCAGATCTGGATTCAGCAAAAGTGTTCTTTCCGTGTAATTTCACGTATCGCGTAAGCGCGATTGTGTAGCCTATCCATAATATTAAAGTGCGGATTCCAGCACACATTAGACGCGCAATTAACGCAATTATCGCGTCTTTGCGATTGGTTTCGTAAACTGGTAGTAACGTATCGTGGCGCGTTCGCGTTAAAAAATTACGGCAACGTGTCGCCGCCGTTGACCGACACGGTTTTGCGTCGTCACTTTGGGGCGCAAACTTCCCTGCGGCAAATTGCTCTCTCATCGCAACGCAGAACGCACTTAAGAGCCGCTCATTAATATGCGTTAAGTGTTCGAGGCGTCTCCCCATGCCCCGCGTCCCGCTCCTCGTTTTCTCTACATCTCGCTCTTTTTCCGTCTGCACTTCTGTCTCCCTTCGTTTGTACGGCGCGTCCGTCGGCTGCATCATGCGCTGCTCATGCACATTAAAATTAAATTCGTTAGCGCCTGTGGATGGTACGACGTACACCTCCGGTTTTCGGTCGCGCGCCTGGTTTGTCCCGTTCGACGTAACGATATAAATCAGACAGCTGAAGAGCGAAATGTAAAACTTCCATTCTCTTCAATATCTTTTCATTCTTTGGGAAATACCATATTACTGATAATTCCTCATAAATGTTCGAAACATATTGCCAAACAATAATGATAAAATCAATCAACAAAAGACAGAGTCAAAGTTGAAGTTACGTAAAACTTTATCTCTTCAATACTTCGATATCTTTGGGAAATACCATATTACTGATACTGCCTAATAAATATTCGAAACAGGATAAACATTGTCCATGATAAAAGCAAATAAAAAAAGCAGTTTTTTGTTGTTTAATTTGCTTATTATAGATTACACTTGACTTCAGAGGAGGAAGAGACGTTCCGATATAAGTATATGCAGCAAGCAACTGATAGAATTTATAATACTGGCAAATGTAGAATGCTTATGAAAAACCGATTTAACTTCAAATCAACATTACATTACATTAGCAGTTTCCGTTCGATATATGCATCAGTCGATTTTTGAGACCCTTTCGAAACGGCGGTAAAGGGAGGGAGGGGAAGGAAGGGGGAGACACGGATTAAATGCAGACAACACGTCGTATGCGGTGGCCTCCCGTCGTTATACATCCTTCAAATGCGTACGCAACTGTTGATGGTTTGTCGTCGTATCGCTGCACGTGATCCGAGGCCCCTCATCAAGGGTCGTAACTCGCGTAATAATGCGACGACGAATTCGCGGGGACGTAATTCGACGTGCGGTGATCTTGAAACTGCCGGATGATCATAAGACGGTCCCGATCGGAATCTACCATTTAGGCGCTTACTATCGACGAGTGAGTCCCCGAGGGTGGAAACGGAGGGCCAATGAGCCGGAAGCTCAATGATAATTTCACGCAGGCATCTCGCGGCTCTCACGTCAAATCGTGATTACCACCGAACATTGAGCAATCTTCGGCTTTTCCTTTTTTTTTTTAAGACACAGACAATTCCGTTAATGATGCCCCTACACAAGTTAATCTTCATCGCGGAATGGCACTCGTTCGCCGCTACTGATCTTATCGATGGAGCTATATTAACGTAATTATTTCCGCGATCTTTATAGGACTTATCATTGCATATACAATGTGTTATTAAACGGCGAGACAAATGTGACCATTAAGAAATGAAAAAGAAAAATACGTCTAATCTGATTATTTGATGCATAAATGGAAGCACTTTCTCTCTTTCTCGATCTCTACTGTGTCAATTGCACATTTTATCTAAAAAACTCAAATATTTAAAAAATTACAAGTTCATTTAGGCGCATGTAATAAAAATCAAATAATATTCGAGAAGGGCTGATGAGCCAAGCTGGTTGTTCGTGCTAATATTTTTTAGAAATTAATTCTAAACATATATACTCTTCTAAAATTATACGTTATTCCATATATTAAAAACAAACGTTTCAATCTAAAATACGATCGTGTTCAATGTAAAAAAACTAAACAAATAATTAAATAAATACAAGTTGTTAAGGCCCGATTGAATCAATAAAACGTTATTTCGACTTTACAATCGAAGCTTATAACTCTCTTTTTCTCTCTTTGTTTTAAGGTTTTAAAGAAAGACAAAGTTTTAAACATCGCTTAAAATAAAAATAATGTTGCAATCAAGTCTTACACATTTCAAATCACTTTTCACGCAAATTTTATCGAAGTTTTCCTATATTGTTGTCCAGATTTTTTACCTATGGCTAATTCCTCCCATGAGGAACTAATTTCATTAAGTCCTTTCATATAAGATACATACTGGATTTTTATTATTCTACGTTAGGAATAACATATTTAGAATTAATTTGTAGAGATATCAGCGTAAATAATTTATAGCTTGACTCATCAACTCTCCTTAAATATTATTTAAATATTTTAACATTTAATTAACTAGTTATTGAAGTGGCATTTTAATAGCGTAGAATAAAATTTGTTTCTATATTACGATCGATAATTTAATTATAATATATGTAACACCGATCGATATAACAGAATAAGAAAATTGGAACAAGAAATCTAAAATAACATATACTGTATCTGACCCTTCAATTTAAAACAATAAAACTTCAGAAGGAAAGCCTCAATTTACAATCTGACACAGAACTTTTAAATCATGTATATGCCTCGATTTTAACGAAATTTAAATAAATATAATGTTGGTGTAATTGTGTTTGTGTGGCCCTCATAATATTGTTACCTTTATTTATATTTATATACATATTTTGATTTTTATCACGAGGATGCACATGTCGGACAGCATTCTAAACGTGACAACAGACGTGTTAAGACGTTCTTATCTTTCAACACGTTTTAGAACGCTTTATTCCTGCGTGTTTATTATTAATTGTTATATTACGCATCTTGATTTGTTCTCGTAATGGTGAATACATGAGTTTCAAAATTGTTATATATATATATATATATATATATATATATATATTGATATATTAATATATTAACTAGAGTTATAAAAAGTTTACAACATCATTATTAATACAGATGACATTTGCGCTTTCAATCTTGAAATTGGAAGCTCATCTTACACATTGCGGAACATATTGACGGAATAAATTATTGATATTGTATTTCATCGCTGAAGAAAGACCGAAGCCAAAACGTACGAGAAAGAAATTCTATACGAAGATATAATCAATATATAATATATTTTTAATGAAAATTTTTTACGTATTAAATTCTTATTGCAAGAGAGCTAAACGCTAAAACAGTTTTCGTTAAATATATTTTTAATACAGCAAGAACGTTTGGCCCATTGCTCTTTATTTGCCATTTATATTTTAAATCTAAAGTGACTATTTTTGTTTTCAGGGTTAGGCAGTGTATTGGTGATCCTACTAGTACTTTCGGCGCGAAGTGCCCCAATAATGAATTCCCCGAGCAAAACGGATGATATGAAATGGGTAAATCCCTGTGGCGTCTCTACCAAATTACGAACAAACGGCTCCAATCCGGACATTGCTCAGTTGGAGGACCATGATCTCCTCAATCAAATAGTACTCCAAGCGAAAACGGCGTTAAGGCATGCGCAACTTTTTAGAGATGAATTTGTAAGTAATAGAATGTTTCTCTTACATATTTCTCTCTTTTTCGCACTGTCGTCCTTTTTCCGTATGTATTCACGTTGAAATCCACGTTGATACAATATTGATACGATATTGAAAAATTAAGCTTATCAATTCCTCGATAATTATTTGTGTGACCTCTGGGAGGAGATCGAGTAGAGTGAGGGAACCTCGAGCGGAAGGCGGTTATGGTAGTACTTCCGGTCATCCAAACGTTCGATCGCAGAGTTCCACGAGTTACGATCATAGATCTTTGAAGAAAATCCCAAAGACCTTATAAATCGTGTCGGCGTCTTTACATTAATCGAAAACGTCTCATTACGTAAATTTTATTTTTGCCTACTGTAAAAATGTAACATTTAAAAATAAATATTATAGCTTACTTTAAATTTGCAAAATAGATGTGCAGAATTAATTTTAATACAATTCTCCTCTTTCAAATTGTAATAAATTCATATTAAATTAATTAAATTTACATGAATTTCATATTAAATTGAAAAATCTTTATTTACATATTTTACCTAACAATTTGATAATCATCTCTTCTTTATTTTAAATTGTTTATTCAAATATTATGCATCTTAAAGTTGCGTCTGTATTTTAAATTCTAGAAATAGTAATCGATTTTATGAGGCAGATAGATACATACGACAGCGAGAAATTTTTGTTTCGAAAGAATCTTCCCAACCAATCGTACCTTATTATCTCTATGGCCAAGGACAATAAATCACGCACCAGACCCGAGCGGTTTCTCAAGGTTTCTCTCTAGGAGCAATCCAAAAAAAGAGATTGACTCGAAAACCGCAGAAACACAGAGATGATGTTTTGCATTCGAAACTTCATCTGTTTTTCAAGAAAGTTTGTCTGATATTTTTGTGTGTAATCCACTTGAAACGCAATTTCACTTGTCGACTTCGCGTGTTTCAATTATATATAAGAAAATTCAGACATTTAACGTAAAAAAAATTTAAATTTCTAAAAAAAACAAGACGCGGGAAAGCGCCAGTCATTAACTCCTAAACGATTGCGTTTCGCCAAATAATAGTACCCAAGAAATAAACACCCATGCATGATTGATCGGCGAACAACATCAGTTAAGACCAGACAAAGACCGTCCTCCGCTCGCGCGCGAACGGTGTTTACCTAGGCGAAGCGAGTATATGACCGAGTAAATTAGCATTCGTCGCGTGCATCGAGAAAGGGTATTTCTGTCTCTTCGCATTATAGGGTCCGTTTTGCCCTGGGGCTCCGGCTGGTTGGCGGTTAAAAAGCGTTCCCGTTACATCATTGCGCGGCGATACCGGATACCGATGTTTTCTAAGTCAGCGCATAATCCGATATCATACCGGCCGCGGGCTCGCTTCTACCCTTGACGAGAAAGACAATAAATCGCGCACGTGTAAATACCTCGCCACTTGCGACATATAAAAGATGGGCATGGAAAAGGAGTGAAGTCATAGGTGAACATGATGACTGGGAAGAATCAAGTTTCTCTCCTCGCCGCTCCGCTATGTGCTCGCGGCGAGGCTAAGAGCTCCAAAGGGGCGCCTTCCTCCGCTGATATCGACTTGCGGCGACACACTGTCTGGTGGTCCAGTGTCTTCACCGTCCAACACTCGTTATCGGTTCAGCGTAGGCCGTCTACCGGCAGGGAGAGAAAGGAGTAGATTAGCCAAGGATACCGAGAACGGCGGAAGTCTCACGGCCAATGTATCTTTCGCGCGCGTGACGCGAACGCAACGCGAAGGGAAGTCCGCTGTGAATCTCGCGATCTCTTTTGCAACGGACGAAACTATTCTTCCAAGAGAGGCTTCCGGGATAATTGAAAATCTTTAGAGCGTAATCATCAACATCGTGATCTATCTGTTGCATTTCATCCTTCTGCCGTTCATCGTTTACGTCGGTTCATTGTTCTTTATATACGCCGTTTGAACAACTCATGAATCGAGTTCAACCGTCTGCAATTCGTAAATCGCGATAGCGATGGCTAACGTCTAACATTTTCGCGCGTGTGCAGACGCGAGTACGTGAAGGAATCGAATAGAATATCGGAAGCGGAGAATTCCAATAAATCAGAATCGGAAGCTGCCCCTCTCCACCGCGGATGGGCACCTATACGCCACACTGGCACACCGCCTGCATACTAAAGCCCAGACCGGATATACAACCTGCCAGTGCATGTACTCGTCTCGATTCATACGACACATATCTCCTATCATGGTAGTCCTACTGCTGTATTTCAACGTCCATTCGTTCCTTTGCGCGATGACATATTTTCCGGACGCGTGTGACTGTCGTGTGAATGCCCCACTTTATAAAGTCCATAAAAACGGATTCGCATGAATATTAATCACAAAGATCGGAATTAACTTGACGCAATGTTTCTATGTCAGGGGAATCCAACAAACTGCTCAATCAATATAAAATGCTACCTAGAATTTGTCAAGAGCATTTAGAAATTATTAACTGTATCGAGAAATCTATTTCTATAAGACGCGTCGATATCGCGAACCACTCGATCGACTCTCGCAGCTATCACATCGAAATTTTATAACTTCTAATAAGCGGTACAGCGGTGAAGCCGCGCTAGAAGAAAGACTGAAAGGCTAATTGATTTTGACGGGTCCTCGGCAGCGCCGCGCGGAGACCATACCTATTCTTGCCAGCCTACTTCCTGCCAGCTTCCAGCCCGGTTTTACGATTATTCGTGCTCCAGTGTGGCCGACGAGACTTTTACGAGGCACAAAAGACCCGCGCCACAGATTTGTCCGCCGCCAGTGGTTGTTAGCGACAATTCCTTTCATTCTACCCTTTTTGTTCCGCTTTACCACCTTTCCCGTGCTCGTTCCTCGCTCTCGCACAATCTCCTTTCGTATATTTATATATCTCGCAGCGAAAATGTGTGAAGAATATTCAAGCGCTTCGAAGCGTGAAACAAAGATCACGGCGATCGCGCGCGTTGGAACTTCGTGACTTTCAGGCGCTCGTTTTCCGTATCGCATTAAAACAAGGCGAAGTATCGATTCTCGAGCAGACTGAGAGCCACCACGTGAATGTAACCAACACATCATAAAACGCGACGATGAAAACGAGTTCTTTTCGGCACCTGAAAGGAGGAAAGGCGGACAACGGAGAGCTCCACTCGTATAGGTAGAGATGCGTAGGTCTCGCTAATGTATTTATTAGAGGACTGCTTACACAAAATTACCGTAAAATTCCGTAATTAACATTTAATTACCCATCAGATTCCTCATTATGTATACCAGCACGCCTATATATAGGAAACTTTGCGGTTATCGTTATTATATTAGCAATAACAGGTCGATGACGCAATTGGTGGCCGGCCACCGGTGAGTATTTAATATTTTATCGATACAAAGTGATGGGTCTAAAAGATATCTATGTATCCTCTTGGACGCTTTCGTAACGATCGGGGCGTGAGAAGGGCCGATCGCTGATCGGCGCACGAGTGCCCGCAGGTACACGAGATCGAACATGCCATAACGAGGGAATGAATTTAATGAATGACTACCGCGATGCCGCCTTTCTATGGGCTACCCTTGCCATCAGCCACGATATTTCCGCCGCTGTCGTGCCTTCGAAATCCATTTGTCGTCACGTACATGCTCACTTTCCACTTGGCCGTGCCGATATTTTTCGTTCATTAACCTGCACGCGAATTCGTAAGCTCGTTTTTTTTTACGACGCGCGGCGTCTCATGTGCGTTAGACGGAACAGTCCTCGAGGATAATATGATTTATCAAGCTACGCAATACGCGGTTCTTGGCAGCGTGGTACTCAGGAATGTTGTTTGCGATCGAAGGTATTATCGCACTCGCAGGTCGCACGAGAGTAGTGAGAGTAATATCGTATACGATGATATATTTCCATTCCTGCCCGAGATAATGGTGCATGCAATGCGTTATCTACATTGAAAACAATCCAGATATCAGATCAATATATAAGATCAAATCATCTTTCCGCGTGCGTACTTATTTACTGGGATAATATCTATTAATGTAAAATGTTAACACCGAGAATTCTTTTGTGCGACGGTTGTTTAAGTGTCTTGAAAGATCGTATCACAATTGTTTGTCATAATAAGAGGCCGATGACCTATTCCACGTAGCCTCGAAGGCTCACAGAACTGAAAACGTCAATGCGTCGCGAAGCATAAATGCTATAAAAATTACGTAATTATTATGCAGTATCCGACAAAATCCCATTTCATAGTGTGGCGATTGCATCGCACAGCCTCGAATAGATTGAATTTGGAAAATGAAGGATAACGTGAGGAAGATTCCTGTTAGAGGTCGACATACAGTTGTACATGCGCGCATACACACGTGTGCCACATGTGCAGCGGGTCAAACGCAAAAACAAAATCGGATCGATTAGCGCGGATGTCCCCAGCTTTGGCAAAAGGACAAAGGAATGACTTGTTTTTTATAAATCAAGTAACAAAAAAATAACGTTTAAAAGTGGGGGGACTTCCGGCAGTCGATCCGAAAAAGGTGAGAGAAAGAGGAGTCGTGTAAAGGACATCGAATTGTACAGTCGCAGAGAGAAAGTCACGCGAGTACGGAATAAAGGCCTAAAAGACGTTAACGTGAAGACAAAGATTTTTTCTCAAAACCGTCACTTCACCGATTCCTGACTCCAGAACATATAATCCGACCAACGCGCATCATTAAATCACCAAAATAGAATAACTGTTACAATAGCATTTTATTAGTTTCCTAATAAATTTGACGCCAAGAATTTCCTATATCGAACGATATGAAAATGGAACGCAAGAAGTGACTTCCAATATGTTACGCAAGCTGTGGCATGTTTCCCTCGCTCTCTATTTCTCGCGGCACTTCCCGGCTCAACGGATGATTCATAATGACTCGCTCGATGTAAGCGATCCCTGATGGGACAATTAGTCTGTCTCGGGCCGGCGCCCGAGTTTCCAAGCAATTTCTGGGTAAAGGACTAAGCTGGCCTTTGTTAGCTGACCCATCTTTCGGGTATTCCCGAAAAGTCAGCGTGCCGCCGCCGCCGCAACCGTTCGTGGCACGCGCTCTCCCGCATAGAGAACCGGCACGAACTGACGTGCGTTACTCACGCGGCGGTTCGCACGGCCGGCTGCGTTTTCATCGTACCAGGAACGAGGGATATCGGGAGACTGATCGTGTACGAGGTGTTGCACGACGTATAATCGGTGACTAAACTCGCTGACATCCAGTGGCGTCGCTTCGCTGCGAGAAATTAACGCGAGAGCGAGCCGGTACTTGCGCTGGCAATAGTGCTGGCACAATTGGCGGATACCTGGAAATACAATAAGAGCACCGCGGTGCACTAGTCCGTGATCCGTTCGCGAAGTGACAATATAAAGTGACAGTGAGACACACCGCTGTCAAGATACAGAAGCGGCGAACGCTGCTGCGTATGCTGTCTTGCTATAAAATTGTATACACTTCTGTTTTTTTAAAGAACATTTTTTCAACAAAAAGAGCGTACAATATCGTATCAAAGCGTATATGATTATAAAAAATGATATTACTAATTAAAACTTGTTATTTATTGTTTAACATTGTGCTAATAAATAAGCACGATTACAGCCTATAACAAAATGACAGCGACGCATGCTTTTGCACATGCGCGTCACGTATCGCTTTATATACCTTAATCTATTCCCGCGCGTAACGAATATGAGAGATATGCAGAACGATATAGCAATAACGCGACACCCACGCGGAATAATTTTTCTCAAATTTCCGCGAGATTGCACACGCTAAGAGGACGACGATGAGGAAACATGATAGTCCCGCATATCTTTCTTCGATGCTGCGGCTCCTTTTTTGAAAGAAACGACGCATCTAATCGTGCCCACGTTTTTCTTCTATGATTTTGCAGATCAGACAAACCTTCAAGACGGACTTCGCCAGCGTCCACAATTTGTGGAGGAAAAGTCATTACGATTGGCTGCCTACACGAACTGAAATACCCAAAGAACTGGGAGAGGAACTGGATCCCGAGCATCTGAACAAATTGGATGTACGTGACGCCCATCAATAACATTAGTTTATGTCACTTTATCTCTCTGCGTAGTTATCGCGCGCTGATATTCTATTAGAATAAAATAATTTGTCAAAAAAAATATATACACACATTTCTGATAAACATATAAGTATTTTTTTCACGATATATACCTGTGTATGAATAACTACACGCATCTATGAACGATTAACAGTACGTTCGAATTTTATATATTTTCAGATTAACACGTCTCTCGTCGACGCGTATGAATATATGCAGAAGTATGCGGTGGGCTTGGAGCAGGTAGTCTTGGATCAAAAGGACTATCAGCCTAAATATCATCAGAAATTCACGGAAGCCGAATGGAAGCTTCGAGCGGTAAGTTTAGTTTCGAGATCAAATCCGTTATCTTGCTAAGTAATTATGCTGAGCCGTGAGTATTCGATCTGTCGCTCTTTCCCGGCGCACGGCATGAAGAAAAAAGAACTGCTGCGCGCGACTTTCACAATAACATCGGCACAATTAGCCTGAATTATTCTACCTTCTGTTGCTGCAAGCACGATAAAAGACGTTTTGCCCAGTTTTACGATCGTTTTACGTAAAGGTTGAAACGTTAAAGATCGTCGCTAACTACCATTTTATCGACCATTCCGGTGAATGGGGCGCGCTCAAGTTCCTATTGGAGTTTCCTGCGTTTTTTCGTTATGTTTAACGTGCATCGCCGACTTCGAGAACACAAATTCTAAAAGATCACTGCAGACATCAGTCATCGCCTAGCTTATTGAAAATTATTAACAATGTTTATCTCGAGTCTCGTATTTACAAGTTATGTTATTTTTGTGACGGTCAACTTTTCAAATTAACAATTAGATAAAATTAGAACAGCTTCGCTTAGATGTTAAAGACAGCAAAGTTTTAGTGCCTTCATTTTTTTATAAAAAATTTCATCCACAAAATATTATCCAAATATTACAAGCGTCTTCTAATGTTCTGATGCTTCTCTTTTCTCAGGTTCTCTGTGAGATCCAAGTTGCTTTAGAAGAGCGTAGCGTAACGCGACGGCCGGATGTCACTCGAGATGTCATGACGTCTGATTTCCGAACGATGACGGATATGACGTTCCGCGATCTGCGCGACTGGTTGATTTTCCGCGAATATATGAACGGCCTCGAGTACGTGGTACAAGTATTTTCGCACCTACGCCAACGCCTGTAATCTGCGCAATCCCGAAGATCCGCATGACGAAAGCCGAGAAAGGGGTACTAGGCGATACTCGTCATCTCTCATCTCAAAAAATTAACACAGTCGACTGGAGGCTCCATTTTCCCGAGGTGATACAAGGAAGAAGATAAAAGGGACAGAAAGGACTATCTTCTGATTATCATTAGAAGGGCACAATTTTAATGAAAATGTGCCTCAAGAAAGATCGGGCTATTTGTTGGTATCGACGATGAGGATCGATTGATATTGTCGAACCGACCGATATACCGCATCGCAATGACTGCATTAAGCTTCTATGATAACTTCGAGATAGAAGTGCCATCAGTGCTCCCGACACCTCATCATACCCTTTTCGACACTCTTTAATGGGTACTTCGTGCGGTACCGGAGAGAATGAAGAAAAAAAAAACGGAAACAAACAAAGCCGCGTCGTTATTGGTCCACTGGCTTTCGCCGTTGCAATTCACGGCCTTTACACAGGCTGCTTTCCTTTTAAGAAACAGTCGACACAAATCAACATACGTCGCTTTACATTTACAATTTTGTTCAAACTCAATCGACATTTTTTGACTCGGCAAAAGAGTCGGAGAGTTCTTGTCCGATTGAATAATTATTAGAATACATTCGCAGATCAGCTCCTAGCACTTCGTTTGATCATACGCACGATATAAGATTCGAGTGTGTACGAGTGTATTAATCTGTGTTCACTTGTTTTTTCCTAAAAGAAAAGCAGTCATAATCATGCATATTCACATACCACACAAACTATGATTTCGCGCGAAGATGCCCAACAAACGCGCGTACATGTTTGATTTTAAATATGGGAAAGAAAGTAGGGATAAATGTAGGTTCAACGGCTCAATTGTTTAACGTTGAACGTAAAATAATTCTCGAGATAACATTTACATGTCACGCTTGTCTTACAATCTAACGTAATATCCGTTATCTCGATACGTTCCTCTTTCGAATTGTTAACATTGAATGTGGCCGCGATTTAATTGATTTGATTTCAGTAGACTCAAGTTTTTTCCAAATAATATTTCTCAATAATAAGATTTATAACAATCACTACTACTTTAAGTGATTGTTACGCAAAGTACAAAAAATACGTAAGATTGGAATCGATGAAAGTAAAAATTGTCACATGTAAATTTCACAAAATATTTCAAATTGATTTCTTTAGCGTGGTTATCCATGTTTCGCTTAGTAATTTAAACATATAAACACGGATGATATCTAACATTAGGCGGTCTATGCTCAGTGCGTGAAACAAAAAGTGATTATAAACTGAAAAAGAAGATAGTTAATAGGGAGAAATCCAATTTTGCTGTAGGTTCATAATGAAACGCAATATTTTGGACCTCGCAGTAATTTAGATCTCTCGTAATTTTAGATGCGCGTGTATGTGTTATATTATGCACATAAAAATCCCACAACACCATTAAAAAAAAGGCCTCTCTTCGCGAGCGATTCATACTCCACAATCTTATATAATAATTTATTGACTACTTATATACATGTATATATATGTTTGTATATAATATAATATACACATATATTATATTATATATAATACATTATATACGTAATATTAGTATATTCGTATTTATTCAGATTATTTATTTTATTTTTATAAAGATTTTACACTCCGATTAATTGTATTTAAAGTATCTAGTTGAGCTTAAAAGTGCCTAGTGTATATGAAAGAGAGAAGGCTATATCACAATTAAGACCCCGTACATACGTGCGATTATTTTGCTTGTGTGTACGGAGTTACAGTATCACAATATTACTATCATCGTGCAAAAGGAGAAGAACGCATCTTCACACGACATCGTTATATGTCGTGTGTCGCGTGTTGTTGCTACTGCTTCTCTTCTTGACGTACCTTTGCAGGGTATGAGAACTCTAATCAGAAACTTAATGAGGCTGGTTAATTTCGCACTTTTGATCACAATTATATCACTCACAAATGAGATCCTTCTAGTATTATATTTTACTCGATATTAATTCTTTTAAAAAAATATTCCTTTACACGATCTTTTTTTTTTTACGCTGACATCGACTTTTATAACGTACGAGACTGTTGAAGACTATTGGCAACAGGGTATATTCACATGAAGATTTTCTTCATCAAATCAAATTTATAATTTTATTCATGAATCCATCAGTGATGCTATTTTATGACAATCAATATATATTTTTTAAACGCGAATGATATATATTTTTATATCATGATCTACTCCATTTTAAATATTTGTATAAATTTCTAAATTAATTGAATCATGTCTTAATATGTGTGCATATACATACACATGTATATATATACACAGATCCACACGCCCTTGCAGTCTTCAAAACTAATACCAGAAGAATTTTTTTGGTACTTACGATTCACAATCGCGTGACCATCTTTTCTAAAAGATCAGTCACAATAGAAAGTAACTGTGCGATCATCTGCAAATAAAAGCGCAAGTGTGTATTGTCATACTTAATTTCCACATCAGTAGCAACGTGTAAATCATATGTACAAGTTCGAGATATCATCGACGCAATTTTAATGCGTAAATCATTATTTATACGCACACATACATCGTATAAAATATATTTTTATTTTCTTATCATCACGTCTGTGATATGCATCCTAGAACATCCCTCAGGCGACTAATTGTTCATTTCCGAATCGATCCACGCTTGCTTCCGTTCCGATGAAAAAAAGGGACAGAGAGAGAGAAAAAGTGAAAGAAAGAGAAAGAATAGCTAAATGTTTCTGTCTCAAACTTCGATCATTACTTTTTTGTATTCCTATTTTATTATTTATTATTTTAAATTAATGTAACTTTAGTTTATAGATTTTTATGAATATTATAATATTTTATATTGCGCGTATATACCAGTAAGATAATTTATTTTATAAGTATTCTTTTTAGAGAGGCTAAAAATATCGCAAAAGTATTTTACAAATTTTGATAGAAGCATGGTTTTTTTTTCAAAAACTAAAGTAACACTAAAGATTCAAAAATTGATTAATATTCTATTTACTTTCTAAAATAGATCGGATAATTTTTATACGCTTCGAACTGATCTCTCTGTCTCATTTTTCACTACAACTGGATTGTAAAAATGCATGGAACATATAAACGATTACCAGCAAAAGTTGTATACGGTCTATAAATGTTTTCACTTATTGTTAAATTAAATGATTCCGATAATTGTAAATAAGGAGATATTGTGCAGGACCGTAAAAATAAAATTTTAGTGATAGGATAATCGCGTTCCATATATCGCGACACAAGATAAATTAAATTCGGATTAACTAGTGCGATCGCTTCATATATATTGTACACAAAAGATCTGATAATATAGTTTAATATAGTAATAAACTGCAAATTATAATTTTATGTATGAATATGTAATTTGGATACGGGCTTCTCTCTCCTCAGAATGCCCGTTCTGTTGTAGCATATTAAACCAAAGACCGTTCGATATCTTAGCGTTGTTATTTCAACACTTGTCTTTTTCCTCCTCAATACGATTTCCTTTAAGAAGAAATGAATTCGAAATCCTCATTAAAAAAAAAAATGTACTAATCAAATTCAGTTATTTGACATATAATAAATTCTGCTCCTAACAATTTTCTAGTTATGTTATCTTGCACATTTCATTATTTACTTTTTAATAAGTGTAGTATTAGCAAAGCAATTCTTCGATCATTGGCACGTGTTGCTCGAGCATTCGGAATATTTCAACCTGACCAAACGGGATTTACCTTTTCCCATGATCAGTGTCCGATGCCGTGTCTCCGGAGCTGTCGACGTCGTCGGTGTTTGAGAGGAAACGCGTAAGTACATGATCATCGGCCCGGGTACGGCTCTGTCCCAAGCCGCCGTGTTTGCGCACGATGTTAGCTCATTGTCATCGTTCGTCCAACTTACTTTCTCATAAGGATTTCCACTTCTTCTCGTGCTGATTCTGTGTTTAACAATCCCTACCCGCCGTCCCTTTTTATCCTCATCCAGGTGGTCTCCCGAGCGCCGCCAAGGTGTCAATGTTTTGCCTAGCCATTAAGATCGTTAGCCCATCTACGCTGCGTTTGACAGCCGAAGAGCGATACGATTCTAGAATTTTATTTTAGAAGTTGAAATAATTGTGCTTGTAGTGTAGAAAAAAAGAGCTATATTCTTCAGGCTGTAATAATAAGGAGAAATTCAAAGAGAATTTTTTTTTGCTATAAGTTTCCATTTGAAAAATAATTTTCTTGGGCATTCTTTACTACAATTTATGCATATATGATACATATATGCACATATATAATATGTATGTATATTAATAACAATAAAAATTAATCATCAAAATATAGATTATATTTATTGTAACAATTGTCAATCACAAATAACACTACAATTAATTGTGCAATGCAATAAATAATGCACTGTAGTAATTGCATCAGACGATACCGATTCTATCTACAAATGTATTTGTTATACTAAACGATTGATAGCGGTCGGTGAGTCTCCTGCTATGGAATTCGAAAAGTCTGGCGCATACATACCATCGGAGAGAGCGTCAAAGAAGAATGGTGCGCCAGTGTCTTCGCCGGTGGCGCAGGTAGGGATCGACGATCGAATCTCTAGGGCAAGATATGAATGAGACGTGAGAAGAGGCCGAAAAGATCGGTCAACGCTATGAATGGCTGGGAAAACTGCGACGTTTTTTTATCCTACGGAACACGCTTTACCTCTTCTTCGTTTCTCCTACTACTATTCTTTCACGTTTCTCAGTTTGCTCCATCAACCGGCGGCGATGTGCCGACGGTGATCCTTTTGCACTTCGCTCCAAATGAGTCCTGAGAGTGGTCCGGAATCTAGCCCCTGCCGTTGCCTCGGGCAAATACTTCGGCTCCTTTCAACTCGAAAAAAGGAGAAATACACGAGACCTCGTTGTAATTAGGATAGTGCGCCCGCATGGACAGCTACACAGGGAGTCTTCGCCACTCACCATTCATTCTTCTTCATCACTCGCTGTGTAACTCGCCCTGTCCTTCTTCGTCCTCGCCTCGTCGCCATTCCCGAATACCCTGAAGGCATCCTCCGCTATATTCCTAGTGACCCTCAAGACAACTTTCAATAATGCCGAGACAAAAGGCTCCAAAAGTTGAGTAGTCCTCGCATTTTGCCGCGGCATCCTTGGAAGCAGACAATCGACTATGCCAACGAAATGTCACACATATTTCATTTATCATTATATATTATATAAATATTTACTGGCGCCTTACATAATATTGTTACACAGAAATTATTTTATTATTTTAAAATATTTACAAGAAGAGGTATAAAATCGATAATCATACCTATATATATACGAATATACCTACTTATATATTCGTACACACTT